CCCAGCAGTAGGTCAGGTCCTAGTGGCAGACAGACAGTGTCAGGGCAGAGTGCCTGTCAGCCGAAAAGCTGCCGATCTGCACTACTTAACCAGGAGTACAGGTCTCAGGAGACGAGAACTCGCTCCCCCTCCACGCCAGTGGCACTCGTGCCCACCCCCTGTACGGCGTTACTGGGAGCTTACCGATGATGCGGCTGCGGCATCCCCGAGCGGCGCGCAGGAGCCTGCAGTTACACCGTCCTGCACCGCGTGTCGGTGGCCGTCTGCGAGACCCACGCCAGAACCACCCTCCTCCTGCCGCTTCTGGAGCTGGGAGACACCGCAAAGCAAGGCTGTGACGGCTGTCCGAAACAAGCTTGTCCCGAAACAGCTCCTGCCCCTCTCTGTAATACTCTCAAAGCGCTGAGCAGCATTTACTTTTCCTCTTTATCACCAGGCTGCCTCGGCACTTTTTCCCCCTACTCCTCAGAAGCCAAAAGCCCCATGAGCTCTTCCCAGTGACTGGTCCTACTGGGAACACAGCTGTATTGACAGAGCAACCAGTGTGCCCGCTGGTTCGCAGCACCCCTTCCTCCCCTTTTGCAGACCAACCTTGATCTCTTACGGAAGTCCAGTGTCGATGTCATGTCTGCCTGTTCAGCCTCCCAGTGAAAGTTACTGATCTTCTGCAAACAAATCCAAATTCTGTTAAATAAAGCGTGAAATTGTTCAGCAGTGCAGCTGTCAGCTACCTGGAGACAAAGTGCTCTTGCAGCGCGTGTATGCAGGGACTGTACACCAGGTGCGATACAAACGCATTTCTGATCTGCCCTTCAGCCTGCCGCTGTGCCTCGCTGCCCGGATAAGAACGGGGAAGCTCTTCGCAGACCGAAACTGCGCTGCGGCAACAGCGGGCAGCGCCCACAGCCCCGTACCGGGCCCTGCCGTGTCGGGGCTCCAGAGCTGGCTGCCCAACAGCCCAGCGCTCGCGCTGCCCTCGCCCGTGGCGAGGGCAGGAGGGAGGGGGGCAGACGCTGCCTCTGCCCCGCCGCCGGTGGACAGTTGTTTCTCCCTCACAGCCAAGCTGTCAGACAGGGATAACAGCACATCACAGGCTCCGTTCCTCTCCTGCCCTGGGCTACATAAACTCCTCAAGTTCCACAAAATTACAGACAGCAAAGGCACCCAGATGCCGACACGCTCACGACCGGTGTTCCTCCTGAAGACCAGTATTTTTCGCGGTAGGTGTTCAAAGACCAGGTATTCTGCTCTGCAAATGAGTCATGCTGCCTACACACCTGGCATACAATTAATAATTTAAAACCAAGCAGCATACAATACTGAAACATTCTCTTACCAGCTTCATGCCCAACTGAGCAACTGTCCTGTTGCCAAAGCTGTCTTTGGGAGAAGACACAACCCCAGGATTCTGCAGGACAATCTCCTCCTAAATACAAGGTGCACTGAACACTGTTAGCAACAGTACTTCAAATAAAGATTGTCTTCCACTTGTTTCTTCGCCACCCCTTCCAACAAAAACCAGCACCGGGTTACAGAGCAAGCATTAAAGACAGGAAGTTATCCGAGGCAGGTGATTTTTGTCTCACATACTTAGCACAGCAGAAACTCGTCCCCTGGAGACAGAGGAACATGTTTGCCAGCAAGCTGTCTCACTCAGAGACAAGAAACTTTGGGAGGTGGGTGCTATTTAAATCCTTGCTTAGAAAAAA